AAAAAAAAAAACAAAAAAAAAAAAAAAAAAAAAAACACAAAATAATAATAAAGAAAAAAAAAAAAAAAAAAAAAAAAAAAAAAAAAAAAAAAAAAAATTAAATATAGTTCAAATATAAAAATGAAATAAAAAATTTTTTATAAGCAACAGGTAATATATAGTAAGCAACAACAATTAATAATTAGATAATTTAATATCTAAAGATAAATATATCTTTCCTTTAATAGTATCTAAGATTTTTATTTAAAGTTGAGTTTCGTTTAATTTCATATTGATATTACTCCTAAAATTTGTAATTTTGATTGGCTGATAAATATGTGATACTAATTTTTGATTGGTTGGAGGATCTCAGAAGTGATCTGCAGGTTGTGTAACCAAAAATGGTCATTTCTGAAGGAGTAATCTGAAGCAAAACCCGGGTTGCTCCAATATGAAGCAGTGTTGGAATTGAAACTATTCCAATAGTTTTGATTAGATCTATTGAACGATTATATGATTTAGATGATTTGAACAATTGGACAATTATATCAATTGCTTAGTCAGACTAATAACATTTAATTACAGTAGCTAATCAAATTTAATTTTGATATAGTTTTATTCAAATTACTAATATATAAATATTTTAATAAAAAATTATTGTCATTAAATATTTTAATAAAAATTATTGTCATTAAATATTTTAATAAAAATTATTATTAAAAAATAAGAGAAAGACATAAACTTACTGAATATTTTGTAATTCTGGAAAAAAAAGCAAACAAGTATAATAATTATGCTGTTTGTCATGATTGTATTCGGGTTTTAGGCCAATCAATGGTATTACAAAATAAATTTACAAATACTAAACGTGCTTGTGCAAAACATCTTTTAAACTGTGAATATTTTGCTAAAAGATATACTGAAGATCAAATTCAAGAAATTGTTCAAAAAGCAAAAGAAAATGGATCTAAACAATCTAATAAATGGCTTTGAACAGATTTTTTTAATTCTAATTTTAAAAATAAAGATAATGAATCAAGATCAACCAACATCTTCAAATGAGATATTAATTACTCATTAAAATTATGGATTACTCGATAATTATTTGTATAATAAGCTAAAACCTGATCAAATTGAAGTATTTGAAAAACTGTTATTAAATGCAACAGTTTCTTGTGGTTAGTCATTTTGTTGGATTGAAAATCTAGCAGTAAAGGAGTTATTTAAATAGATTAATTACCTTTGCCAAGTCAAAAGAAATAAATAGATAAATTCTTAAAAAGTCAACTGTTGAAATTTCTAAAACAATTTTAGATAATGCAATTAATGACGAACTTGGTGTTATGCTTGCTTATAATGGGTGGAAAAATGTTACACAACAAAATTTATTAGGATCGGTATTATTTACTTCAACAAAAAACATGATTATTTAAGATATTAAAAATTTAAGTGGAAAAAGAAGTAAAAGTGATGCTGTAATTGAGGAAACAAAAAAAGTATTTGATTATCTTAAACAAAAAAATATTAAAGTTAATAGATTAATTACAGATTTAGCTTTAGAACATGTTGCTGCAAAGTACTATATACTATTTATTTATTATATATATGTTTATTTATTATAATATAATTCATAAATAACATTTATATAATTATTGTAATTATTTAGAAAACAATTACAGCTTCAGTATTATGATAAGCTTTTTTTACCCTGCTATGCATATCAGTTAAATTTATGCATTGGTGATATATTTAAGGAATCATCAAACTTAAACATAACAGCTGAAGAAGTAATTAAGTTAATTATATTTTTTCATCGATCAAAAGTATGGCTTGGATGTCTTCAAAATGAACAATTATCTGTATATAAAATGTATATTGCATTATCAACTCCTACAAATACTCGGTAGAATTCATATTACTATTGTTTTTCTAGTTTATTAAAAACTAAGGGTGCATTACAGGTATATACTGTATATAATATAATAATAATTTAAATAAATAATACATATATACTAAATTTATATATAAATAATATTTATAGAATCTTGCAACTAAAATTGAAGAACATATAATTGAAGATAATTTCGATTTTCCTAAAGAATATTTAAAATAAATTATTGATAATAATTGGTGGATAAAACTTAAAGAAATTGAACCCTTGTTAATTCCTTATTGTGCAGCACTCAATAAAGTTCAATAACATAATGCGCAATTATATGAAATACTTCATGGATTTGGAAGTATAATTATGATGTCTAAAGGATTAAAAGATCATAATTTAGCCACAAAACTTCTTGCAAAGCTTGAGCAACGATAGAAAGGGTAGGAACAACCACTATTATTATTAGCATTTTTACTTCATCCTAATTATCGTGATTCAAAATTCAATACTGCATATAATTTATCATTTCTGCATTTAACAGAATGGATTCAATATTATTATTGCATATGGTTTTATGATAAACCAAAAGTTTTAATGGCTGAACTTAAGAATTATTGTATGAAAAAGTATCCTTATACAGAATCAATCGTTAAGCAATTTAAGGTCAATATATTAGATTACTGAAATTTTATACAAGGATATTCCAAGGAGCTATATTATGTTGCATAACATATTTTTTTAATTACAGTGTCTCAACAGCATTATTAGAACATCTTTTTTCAACAATGGGATGGTATTATTCAAAATGAAGAAATAGATTAAAAGTATGTATACTCTATTTTATTTACAGTAATATTATATACAGTATTCTAATATATATCTATAAATATATTTTAGATAGATAAAGTGTTAAGCTTAACTCAAATTCAAGCAAATATGCAACGTGAGCAACAACTTCGTGATTTGGACAATTGTGCACAACAATATTGACAAAATATATCTCATACTTCTACTAATATTGAATTAGATAGCAGAGAATCTGAAATGCATAATCTAAATAACTTTATTTTGTTTGATAGTAATGATGCAACTACAGATTCAGAAACAAACAACAATTCATTAAATAATCAATATATACAGTTAGCATCTTCAGTTAGTGAATGGAAAAAACTAGTAACACAGTGGATTGATATGATAGAAGACGAATATCAATAACAAGAAATTGAAACTACAAATTTTGTCAATAATTTTGGTATCTATAAAATATTAAGGAGCTATGGTGTGATAAAACATAGGAGATAAACAAGCGATTTAATTGGCCCGCATTGCGCATGCATATTACCATAAAACGCTATATAAGGTACCCACCCCCTTGATTTGTATCTCTCTTGATTTGTACCGGGTACGTTTCAAGGTCATCGATGCGGTATTTTGTAAGATAGCATGTGTAACTTATTTATACAGTTTAAAGTACTTTTTTAGAACATAATGTTTTACTAACAAAAAATCACTGCAAATGCCATTTCTAACTTCGAAAGAACATCTATATACACTGCAAAATAATCAAAAAATAATCAGAACTTTAC